TAGAAGTAACTTTTATTTAAACAATTTTTTTCTCCAAACATAAATAACAGATATATTCCATAAAATATAAAAACGGCCTCCTATAAAGTACCCCCCCAGATGTTCCGACTTTGTCCAAAATCTAATCATTTCACGTCAGGCCGAAATAAAACTTAAGTTTAAAATTTAATGTTTTTTTCTTTATCCGTTTTTGAGTTTTCTTCAAATTTCGAAATTTACACATTTTCTCAAATATCTCGAATACGGTCCATTTTAGAGAAACTATCTATAGAATAAAAATTATAGAGAATTATATTACAAACAACTTTTGTTTGAACAATTTTTATAAAAAAAATATTTTTTTACATTTTGTCAAATTTCGCGAATACGGACCATTTTAGGAAAATTTTGTATATAACAAAAATTATAGATAATAAAATAGAAAGTAATTTTCATTTGAAGACTTTTCTTCCCCAAACGTAAATAACAGATATATTCCATAAAATATAAAAATGACCACCCATAAAGTACCCCCCCAGATGTTCCGACTCTGCCCAAAATCTAATCAGCTCATTAGACGCTGGAACAAAGCTTAAGTTTGAAATTTGGTGTTTTTCCGTGTATCGGTTCATGAGTTATGCGTTATACAGACACACACACACACACACACACACAGACACACACACACAGACACACACACACACACACACACACACACACACACAGACATCATCGCGAAAATAGTCAAAACGGATTCAGGGGACCTCAAAACGTAAAAATCCGTCGAAAACTCGAGGTCGAAAAAAATCATGATTCCTATACTTTCCTTATATCTGTATACAGATAGGAAAGTAAAAAGTTAATTCAAATATTTTTGTTGTTGGTTGTATATGTCACTTCCTACATCTGTGTGCATCAAAAGCGACAAAAAAATACCTTCTACAGTCTACAGTAGAGGAGTTTGTCCAAGATATATACAACTATACAGGGTGTCCCAATAAAAAGTAGCCCGTTTCCATTTGATAAAATTTGGTTACGGTGAAGTTAAAAGAGATTTTTAAAAAACACCCTGTATAGGTAATAGATAATTTATGTGTCACTGAAGCAAAACTTATAGCAAAATAACACATATCAGCAAAAACCGCACGTTTCTACGATTTGTTTAAAAGGTATAAGCTCTGGAAATGGGCTACTTTTCATTAGGACACCCTGTATATCGAAAAGTCCAAAAAGGCTTACCGTTTATAAATAATTTGAAGAATTTATTGACACGAAACCCCACAAATTGTTAAGATTAAGTCAAACAAGATGGCTTTCATTAAAGGTAATAAACAATAAGTTTATATACCTATTTCGATTCTGTACAATCGTTTAAAATCTGGTACAATTTTGTCCTGGGATCTGTACAAAAATAATAGTAGTTGGATGTCCAAAATATGAACTGTGATTGGTGGATTTCGTTTTTCTGCAATGTTCTCACTACCTAAAATGGATATAAAATATACTCGTTCAGATGAAGGCAATAGCACACTTTTTCGTTTTGTAATCTGTGCGTAGATAAGCTAATATCCATGTGGATGTAGAAAAAATTGTTTTCTTGACTACATACATATTTTATAATCATGAATTTGGTACTATCCAGTATGTAATTGTTGTATTTTTTGCTCAACGTGAATCGTATTTATTTGACAAGCCAAAGAAATTATGAAGAATGTCTTTATTTTAAATTTAAAATAAATATTTTTACAAGTACAGTTAAGTTCATCCGTGAACACTGTAAAGATTTTTAAATTTCAATAGATTCTACATGAAACACTGAATATTCGTAATATAGAGGCATGCTGTGCATTGAATTAGGAATAAAGCTTAAACAAATTAAGTAGTTTTTCCAAAACAATCCTCGAACATAAAATAGCAGTTTTTCTACACACACATGGATATTAGCTAATCTAAGCACAGACTAAAAAACGAAAAAGTATGCTATTGCGTTCAACTGAACGAATATATTTCATATCCATTCAAGGTAGTGAGAACATTGCAAAAAAATTAGATCCACCAAATACAGTTTATATTTTTTTTGAACACCCAACTACTACTATTTCTAAAATTTTAAATAAGTGACAATTATTTTGTCAAACTAATTGTTAGTATATTTTTTAGTTATTGAGATTACATATACATTAAAATGAGTTATTTTTGTGTAGAATCGATAAATCATAGCATTTTTATTTCCATTTTTATTTGATCCACATTTTGAAAAAAAAAATAAATAAAATTTTAATCAAAATGTATGAAACTAATTTAATTACGAGTATTTTAATTAAAATATAAAAAGCGGCGGTGGAGATGAGGACAGATGGGGACAAATTAAATTATTTTTTATGTTTATTTTATTTTATAAATTAGTAAAATTCATAAATACTTTTAAAATTAGTTATTTTGTCTTAAAAACCTAAAATACTTTTTTAAATTAGTAGATTTTCGTTAGTGGGTCGTTGAATAAATATACTGTTCAATACGAGTGGATATAATGGCCATAACGCACGAAGACGGAGTTTGAGCACGACACTGTAGGCGGAATACTCAATCGTGTGAGTGCGATATGGAAAATCCACTCGAGTTGTAAAGAGTATATTTTTTCTACGACCCACTAACTAAAATCTAAAAATTTTAAATATTATATTAGGTTATTAAGATAAAATAACTAATTTATGACTTTTACTAATTTATATAATAAAATGAACTTGAAAAAAAATTCAATCCTAAGATTGAACCCGGGACCTCCGCGTGAAAGACAAGTCACTGCTCTATCGCCATACATAATATATCAGTTTTAATACTTGTAATTAAATCGATTACACATAGTTTTATTAAAATATATGATTTATTTTTAAATATAGACAAAATAATACTAGAAGTACTAATATTTATCGATTCTACATAAGAATAACTCATTTTAATATATCTCAATGACTAAAAAATATTCTGACAATTAGTTTGACAGAATTATCACTCAAAAAATAATAGTAATCTGGTGACCAAAACATGAACTGTGATTGGTGGGTTTCATTTTTTTGCCCTGTTCTTACTAGATACAATGGGTATGAAATATATTCGTTCAATTGAACGCAATGGCATACTTTTTCGTTTTGTAGTCTCTGCGTAGAATAGCTAAAAAATTACATGTGAGTGTAGAAAAAATAAATACCTACCTAATAAGAAAATAAGTATTTAGGTACATACTGGTATCAGTAGCGCTTAAACAACAACATAATACTAAAAGTATTGGAATTTTCTTCCACTTCCAAAAATAAACACATTCCTTGTTTTCTTAACCTAATCTTAATGGTCATCTAAAACATTTTCAACCTTATCAATTTTCGCAATTTTCATGAGTTGATTAGAAAAATATGTTCACGTCAAATAGCACTCTATCGTTGGTGTGTAAATGTAAGTATATTAAACAAACAGATGTCAGTTTTAACCTATATTATGTTTCAAATTGCTACAGTCAATATAGTGAGCTTATAGCAAAAATATACGATATAATTGATATTAATAATATTATTTCTTCTTTTTGCTAGTAAAAAAATAAAGTAAGTATTGAAAGGATCAATATAAGTTTTTTTATTTATTAAAATCAAAGATTTGTATTTCGAATTTTCAAATTATTCAGCCACTTATTTCAGATATTGACTTTTCGGATTTCGATTTACAATTTTACGATTAAATAAATTCACAATTTTCACACTCAGGTTTGCGTCTCTTAACATACATTGAAAACTTAACTCACGCAGACGAAGACAAATGCATTTCTCATATATACCGATGCTTGAAAAGTTGAGAATGAGCCTGGCCACCGTCAGGGCCGAACTAGCACATCAATTTCTATCTAGGAATCTCTACTCAATATCGTGGTCTAGATGGAATGGCAATTGGGCATTCCAAGGACCTGTCAAAATGCTGACAAGTGGGAACTGACGTTTATATATGGCAACATTCATTGCGTTCGGTTTGCCACGTTCCTTTAACTCCATTAACACTTTTAACTCCAAACGACTCTTTTAGCGTTCGGTTTAGTCCGATTAGTGACAGTTTAACACGCTTAAATGTCATTTAAAAGCACCCTAAAATTTGTCCCGCTCCAGCCCCTGACTATCCGAACTCGCCTCCTGTGGCCTGCTGATATTGACAGGGTCAATGATACATATATGGTTGTATAGATTGCTAAAAGCGGGTCCTTTTGCGAGCGGCCATATTGCCTTTCAAGTTTAGCAAAAATGTGTTTTAAAACCAATTTTCGGCCTTTGAATATAGTAAAAAAATAATTACCTACATTTTTACTTCAAGGCATAAACTTAAGTTTATTTTGAAAAACATGGATGACCAATCCATATAACAATCTATTTCATTGACCCTGTCAAATCACTAGGCTTACAGGGTTGCCATAATGTTGTCATATCATAACCTGTCAAAACCCACTGGTAGCCATTTTGTTTAGAATGCCTAATTGACTAAATAAGGATGTCCGGGTTCGATTCCCGACTACGACAGGCTTTTTTTTTTAATCTCCAAGTATTTGTTTTCACCTTTGAGGTTCGGGGATGGTCTTAATAATTCATAGTGGTATTTTTTAGATTATTGTTGTTTTTAATGATTTCACATAGCTGAAAGCTTGTAAATATGAAAATCCAGTATTCTGCATGATGCTCGCAGAGGTGCTTCTGATCATTTCTCCCAAGAATTTATGGAATTACTTGAATCAAAAATCCTTATAAAATCTATTATTCCCTGTGCATGCTGAAAATCTGATTGTTCTACATCCCTCATTAAAAAATCTAGTGCCTCGGCACAGGGCCTTCAGGAGCACGTACGGGCCCCAGTACTGCCGTCCCGACGGGCCCCGTTAAAGAGAGTACTCACCACAGTTTTTTGGGTGCTACATCCAAATTTTGACCCTTAATAAAACACCTCGAGCAAATTTTTTTTAATAATTTATATTAAAGAAAAATATATAAGTACATGTTTTTGTTTATTGCGTATAGTATCTGTATAGCACAAAATAAATAACTAAATATTTAATACGTTGAAGGACAGAGACGCAGATTAGCGTCTTTTTTTGATGTTGTGAGGTGACGCAACGCTGATATGCGTCTTCTGCTTGATGGTTAAAAATGACACGACGTCGTTCAGCGTTTGCGTTTATAATAATGAGTTCCAATTGCTAATGTCACAATATGTTCGAATGTCAGTGACATAGTGACGCACATTCAAAATGTATTTACATTCGCACCCCTCCTTTTAATTAAACAGAACGCAGTCCAGCGTCTCTGATAAAACCCAGCTCGTATTTAGTCACCCAAGAACTGCATGGCTTGATGGTGCATTAGGTGCTAAATGGTATTGTATTGCTGTGTGGTGTTTTGTATAAGAAAGGTTAGTATGATCATTTTATAATTTGTTTTAAAACAGTAAGAAAAATGTGTTAGATGAACTGTACATGTAATTTGTCGATTTCGTACCAATTATCTACTTTTATTTGTCAAGTTACTAGAAGGACATTTTTTTTTAAATTGTAAATAGTCAGCTGTAATAGTGGTATCCCCCACTCGGGCTTACCGAAAAGCAAAAATTCGATCACATCTGGGAATTACGCCCTCTTGATTTCCGGCAGCCGAAAACTATTCTCTCTCCTGCAGTGCCGAGTGAAATACTCTGTGAGTGACCATGATATCGAAAGAATATTGAACAACCCCGTTTATTTTTCTAAGGTAGGAAACCGCATATTATTTTTTATTTTTTTGATCATTAGTTGGGACACCCGTGCGACAAGTGAAAAATTTTGATTCATATCCAGAATATTTCATTTCATCCCTCAGTGGGAAACCGTTGGCAATTTTTTATTTGAGGCTGGATATAGGCTAGACTCTGAGTGCTCTCATTGTCAACGACTATATCCAATCTCTCTTAGAAAGCGCCCAGTTAACATTGACGTAAGAAGTTTAACCCGTTTTCAATTTTTTTTTATTTTATTACTTTTGGGGAAAAACCGGCTCGTTATTTTCTTTTTCGAAGATTCGATCCGTCCTCGGGTTAAGAGTGATCTCTGTCCTGACGGCGTTATCTAATTTCCCAAAAGGACGTCTAAATTAATTATCGCGCCTCACTTTATGTAAGTTTCTTTTCTTTTATTTATTCATTCATTTGAATCATTCCGTTCCCCGTCCACAACTAATTATTGAACGAAGCCAGACGATTTCTGTAAAATTAATTCACACACCGTCTCGATCGACTTTTGGCAGGTCTCAAAATGATTTTTACATTAACCATCGCATTCTTGTTCCAAACACCGCGCTGAAAATTATTATTCTCGTTCAACGTAATTGCCAGAGCGCCGATCGGTCCGAACTAAGATACAGGGACGTTCCGAAAACTTTCATTTCATTTATTTGCTTACATTTGATTACCGTCATATTTAAATAAATTATTTTTAATAAATTTTCCGTATACAGGGCGTTTCATAATTCCCGGACCGCTTAGCCTCCTGTGCTAGCGAACCGTAATTATTTCCCAATATTTAAATAGTTTTTAAGTGTATTAATTTATTTTTAATAAATTTTCCGTATACAGGGAGTTTCATAAGTTCCGGGCCGCTTAGCCTCCCGTGCTAGCGAACCGTAAATATTTCTCAATATTTAATTAGTTTTCATTGGTAATAATTTATTTTTAATAAATTTTCCGAATACAAGGAGCCGTTAATTAATAATTAGTTTTCATTGGTAATAATTTATTTTTATTAAATTTTCCTAATACAGGGAGCCGTTAATATTTAACTAATTTTCAATTTTAATAAATTATTTTTAATAAATTTTCCGAATACAGGGAGCCGTTAATATTTGACTAGTTTTTCAATTGTAATACTTTAATTTTAATTATTTCTCTTTAAGCTCATTCAAATGTAATCATTCATTTTATTTAATTTTCCATTTACAGCCGTGCCAGAACCGTGCACTACCACCGTTGTATTTTTTTGTAAATATATATTTTATTATCTATTCCTGTGTTTCTGTTATTACTGGTTCTTAACCGTTCTCTTTCAGGGTACCGTAGGGTACGAAGTGTAAAGGAGATAAGTGTTTTATTTTTATTTATTCTAGTATAGTGGCTACCTAGCAGTGACCGCCTGGAATTATTTTTACCTCCACTGAGTTTACCTTAAGTACACTCTGGTGTACTACAGGGTCGCAGAGCAAACTGCGATAACAAAACTGGCGCCTGAGCAACCCCTATTCGGGAATCACCATCATAGCGCCTCACAGACTCGCTGATTCACTGTAGGTGAACCAGAAGCCTGTCACAGATGTTTGCCGTTATGTGGCTGAACGCTGCACAGCGTTGGACGCATATCAGCGTTGTGCCATATTTGTGATTGTTAAACTCTTATTATTGTGGTAGAAAACGTCCATCAGTGTCTAATTGGGTTCTTACTATTTTTTTTCCAATAATAATAGTTAATAATGCTTGGAAATTAATTTTCTTTTAAAAAATATACTGCCTAGATTGGTATCTTACAAAAAATGTTACTGTCCTTCAACGTGTTAACTTCTATTATAAATATTAGGAACAAATAAAATAATACATTACAAATAAGAAATAAAGATTTTTTCTGCCTCACCACAGTAAAAACAAAATTATTAAATCCTGAAAACTATTGTATGGCAATATGGTCCACGTGCCGGGCTCCTTGTACAAGCTGTACCCCCTATACATGCCCCTACATTGGCAACTCTTGCACTAATTGTTTGTGCTGCCACATTCACCTAAAATTCACAGTAAAATAATGTAAAATATGTATATGAAAAATAATATAGTCATACCTTCATTTTTTTTTTCCTGCTTTGCATAATTTATTTCCCATTCTACAAAATTATTTTTCCTGGACAACATGTAATTTTCTTATCAAACTTTGGTCAATTTTTCTCCTTTCTTATCTACGGAGATCTCATATTTAGCCCAGTTGTTCCTTATAATTTTAGATTGGGACAGGAATCAAACAATTGTAATACAATTTTAAATTTATCTTTTGGGTATAGAAATTAAGGTTTTAACTGATGTTCTTGTAAACAGCTCCTAGGCTATTAGACATCACAAAATTGGCAACAGGACCATCGCAGGTAACTGAAATTATTTGAACACCAATATTATACAGTTGTATTAAAACCTGTCTGATTATGTTTGCCTTTTCTGCTCCTGTTAAGGACTGGATGAGAAAGTAGACAATTGGTAGCATCCAACCATCATTAACAGCAACAACCATTAAAACAGCCTTAGTTGCATGTTTCGAGGAGTCCTCCTTGGAACCTATACCTCATATTCACTAATTTGTTTCCAATGAAATCTGTTTTTTAATTGCCATCTCTTCAATGACAAGACTACAAATTGTTTTCAAGTCTGTTTCTTTTTACTACATTTTGGAGAGAAATAAATTAACATTTTGATAACCCTTTTCACAATTGATTTTACTGTGCCAAGATCTTATTGTGCTTCGAGCTGGTAATGCTAATTTAAATATTCTGCATACATAATTATAGGCTTTACTTGAATAAAATTGTAATGCCATGGCAAATATCCTTAAATCTTCAGGGAACTGTTCTTTCTTTTTGATTCATTTTTAATATTCTTAAAATACCTTTTCATCAAAGAGGGGTATTCCATAAAGTGATGTTTCTAAAGCAGTTATTGCATTGTCTGAGCCAATTGTTTTTTTAAATGCCACACCACATCCTTCAAATGGATTACTTTTTGTTGTAATCTTTTTACCTGCACTTTTTTCTGTTTTAAAGCAAGTTGGTATGTTTTCTTTCTTCTTGTTACCTCTCCCAAAGCCTTTTTTATTGTTCTTGGCGATGCACTGAAATATAAAAGATTTTTAGTACAAAACAATATTTTGTAAAAGCTTTTGTTTACTATAAAATGGTTATTTCTTCTTATGTATAACTATTGTATGAGATCTTCATTTATTTTAACTAAATATACTAAAATAGGAAGTATATCAGTTACCTATAATTATGATAAATTTTTACATCTTTTCTAATTTTTTTGTTCGTTCCTTCATACCCTTCACTATCACTCGAAGAATCATCTAATTCTCTGTTCAAGCTTACATTTTGCCTCTCTGGACTAATTGTAGTCATTGAAGTTGGAGAAGATCTGAAATGATAAAATCAAGTTATTCACTACCTTATAATTGGATAACAAAACATTTAAATTCTATGTCCATTTGTGTTATTTTACAACAGTTGCCAGGTAAAACTCATTAATTGTTTCTGCAACTAATGGAAGATAATGAGCTTTTCTGAAATATTGTTAATTTAAAAAAAGACAAAATGATTTATAACTTTTTTAATGTTTGTTGCTTAGATATAAAAGTAAATACAAAAAACAAATCAAATGCTTAACACCGGCGAAAAAAATAAAACAAATTGCAGAATAGTTACCAAATCACAGAAATTTTACAATGCCACTGTTTGTTTTTACTGTTTGTCCGCAACAATTCTAGTTAGTTTTGGACTTATATAATGACTCTTAAGATACATGGAGGATGGAAGTCAACTACAACAGCAGAGGGTTACATTGAGTTTTTTAAATAAAACGGATATTGCAAATAAAATTTTACATTCTATAAAAAATAAGACTGAAAATCTGAAGCTTCTATAGCAGAATATCTAGTTCAGAAGCAACATATAAAAAAAAAACATCAAATGTCATAACCACCTCTTAATATTTCAAATTGTAATGCTATAAATATTAATTTTTAGATTAAATTTGAATTTGTAATTTAATAAAAATCAAATATATGTACTTGTATTTATATAGTTCTATTGTGGTTTATGTTTTAGTCATTGTGGTCCTAGAAAAAGTATAGTGTGGTACTCATGCAGAAAACCTATTTCACACATCCTGTAGAATAGGTTACTTTCTGTACTTATTGCATAATATACTATTTAATTTTTTTTCCTTCCGTGCCTTTCAACACAAATGCAATTAATGAAGTATCCCACACCTACAACAGTTTTGCGGCTCGTTTTATGGAAAAAGGGAGTTTTTTTTCAAGAGATTGACCTTAAAACTTAGTGTTATAAAATCATGTCAGCCAAAAATTGGTACTTAATGAGTTTTGCCTATCTACTGACGATATTTAAAAACATACCTGTTATCATTAGAAATATCTACATTTTGAGTTATTTCGTGTGGAAAATCTTTTTCTTGGAATATTTCATCATCATTATTACATGATTCTGATTTGATGAATGTTGTGGAGTATATCTCAGGGGTAGCAGATACATCATTATTATTACATGATTCAGATTTGATGAATGTTGTGGAGTATATCTCGGGGGTAGCAGATACATCATCAGCTACTATGTTCATTGCTGGTATTCTAAAAAATACACCTTATAGTTAATAAAGTCCCACTATTGAATAATGTTATTCACAAATATACCTGCACGAAGAATATGATGACTGCTGATGATTTTCCTTCTCTTCATTATCATTTTCACATTTCTGTTTGTATAACAAGGCACTTAATTTTTCAGAAAAACTACATTCTTTGGTTTGGCTAAAAAAATTGTATCTTACCTACCATTTATTATTTCATTAAAAAAACTATTACCTTGAACTTGCACCAATACTAGTATTATATGGTTTAAGAGGTCCCAAATATAAACTAGGTACAGCACCTGTTTTTAAATTTCTCTTCTCATTTACAAACAAAAAATCTGCATCAGTAAAGTGTGCACTACACACTACATTATGGGTTGTAAGATTTTCTATATCAGGATTCCTTCCTAAAGCCCTCATCCAACTTACGTACCTACTACTTGTCAACCTAGGGTACAAAAAAATATTATGGAAAAGCAATAATTGTTTGGTTAGGTTAAAGCATTATATAAAGTTTTTTCCTATGTCCCACTAGTGTAAAATCCACTATACCTTTCGGTCGACAGTGTAGTGTCCACTGGTGGATACTATCTCCCCCAGCTATTTAGCAGGAGCCCAGTACTGGGACATGAGTGAATTACACTTGACATGTGTATAAATAATAAGAGAAGTAAACTAGGTAAATAGGGTGGTGTAATTGACACTGATGGATACTGCACCAACAGCGAATGAAAGAAAGTTAATCTAAGATTGTAGGACTTGTAGGGTAGCTCATAAACATATCACTGTCCCAGTTTAAAACTGTAACATCTCAAAAGTTTTAAAATGTGAGATAAGAATGTATTCTTAGCAAGGAGGGCATGATCTGTACAGTTCAACACTAATATCTCAAAAGATTTTTTAGAAGAAAATGTAGAAACAAAATTTTTTGAGATAGATCTTGCCCTACTTGATATAAGAATACATTCCTATCTCAAATCTTAAACTTTTTGAGATGTTACAGTTTTGAAATGGGACAGCGATATAGCTTATAGCTCCATTAGTTTTGTAACAACAAAAATATTGCACGATTTGCAAAATATATTTTTAGGTACCTACTTCATATAAATAGGAATAACTAAACTTACTGGTATAATGGCGGTTTATTATTTTTGCAAAACAAAACCATACATTTTCGCACCATTTTAAAAGGCACTTAGTGTTCTCTGATTTTTGGTAAAATAAAACTTAAAATCAATACAACTGTAGGATGTCCACACAAACACAAATTTTAAATATTTTGAAACCAGCAAACCTTTGGCACAAATTTTTACTAATGTAAACAAACGGCAAAATGTCAAACGTGCAAACCAGAAACCAGTGTTGCCATGTTGCCAACATGGAGGAAAGATTATTGCCAACAAACTGAACAAACGGTGCCAACCATGGATCATGGATGCCAACTTTATTGGAAGCTGTTATAGTATGGAGGCTTAAATATTATATTTTTTTATAGTACATGAAAAATATAGTACAATAAATAAGACAATAAATGTGTTTAATTCCTATATTATTTAAAAATTAACAAAATTCATAAAATTTTTAACAGTACCTATTCTATGAAAACAAATTTGTAGTAAAATGTAATAATAATTTTACGAAGTATCTACATCAGCCGAAACTAAGCCCAAGCACAACATCTTCGTCCGCATGATAAATCAAAAACGAAAAATGATATAAACTTACAATTTTTAAGAAAATCAATCTCTATATAAGGGTACGAAGCCTACTGATTTTGAAAAAATCTGATTAAAAATGGAGGGGTTAAGAAGGGGGATTGAAACTTAAGAAAAAATCCTAAAACAAAAACGAAATGCAATATCAATTTGAAATTTTCAGGAAAAATCAAGCTCTACAATGGAACGACTATTCATTTTAAAAAAAAATCTGATTAAAAATGGGGGCGGGTTAAAATAAAAAAAAATCATGAATTAAAAACGAAAAACAATATCAACTTTTAGGACATATCAATCTCTATAAGGGGACGAATCATATTAATTTTGAAAAAAATCTGAATAATAATGGAGGGGATTGAGACTTTAAAAAAATCATAAAACAAAAAACAATATTAACTTGAAATTTTCAGGAAAAAATCAAGCTTTACAATGAGACGAAGCATATATTTTTAAAAAAATCTGATCAAAAATAGGGAGGTTGAAATTTAAAAAAATCATAAATCAACAACGAAAAAGCGATATCAACATAACATTTTTATTATAAGTCAAAGTTCCATAAGGGGACAAAGATTATTCATTTTGAAAAAAAAAAAGGTCCACGTCTTCAAGGTCTAAAAATCCGATGACGTTGCGAAATTCCGCTACTCCTGGCAACACTGAATCATCTCTATATTTATTTAGAATAGGATTTTTATAAAACCGATTTATTGAATTGATTTTTTTTAAATTTCAGTTCGTTTATCAATTTTGTTTTAATTTATATCAATAATTATAAATCGAATTTTTGTTTTACTTGTATTAGATTTGTTTATTTCTTATAGTATGCGATAGTATTTGTATTAAAAAAGAAATATGCGAAAAAGCCCTCAGCAAATTGCAATCTACATTCATGCGACAAAATTCAGGAGGTGATTGCTCGTATGAAATTAAGATGGGTCGTTCCTATAACAAAATTTCCTCAGCCCACCCGTTTCCAAGATATCACCCTTAAAAGGTGGTGACTAAAATTGAGTTATTTTTTTTTCTTCTAAAATTTCAGTAAAGCTAGAAACTTGAAATTCTGTAATTTTCGTGCACTCGCAAGGGACTAACCACGGGTATTTTTTCAATATTCCTGTTACATTATAGGGAGGTGAAATTAGTTTTATTTCATACTTCATCTCGAAAAAAAGTTTTGATATGAAATAAAGAAAGGGTTGCTAATTTCACCCCCCGATAATAATAATAATACTCTTCCTAATTTTGTGCGCTTATAGCATCATGTTTAGTCAATACCGAATTATAACCATAAACAATAATCCTTGTAACAAATACTCTCTCATAATAATTGATATAACTACGTGGATGACACCGTGAATGTTTGCAATTCTATTTTTGTAAACAAAATTAGTCCAGTAGGTGTTCGTCGTTGCATGGTACAACCTATTGCATAACCCCTGTAAATGTATAGAGTACGAACTAAGGGGCCTATTCAGTAACTCTGAACGACGTCGTTAATAGACGATAATCGTTCACAGACGACTTTTCTTATTCAGTAGATAACGATTATCGTTAAAGATAGACAAATATCAATGAACTGGAGTGGGGTAGAAAGCCAATGTGCATATTGTATCAATAGAACAATATGCGACTCCATGGGCGCAGCTATTTTTATTTCTCATCTCACTTGGGAGTATTAATAACCATTTTCTGTTTCACTTTGTTATTGTTCAATCCACATGCTGGTGGATCAGACAATAACAAAGTGAAATAGAAAATGGTTGTTATAAATACTCCCGAGTGAGATGAAAAATAACCTGTATTTGCCCATAGAGTCGCATGTCAAGCCTATTGACAAGCATTCTACCCCACTCCAGTTCATTGACAAATATGGATGCAAAATTGTCGTTCATCAACGATAGCCACAGAGCTGTCGTTAATATTATGAAGTGTCGTTATAGTGACTTTTCCACCCTCTTTTATTTTAAAATACCTATTAGGTTTCACCGGGAGCCAGGATGTTTTCTAAATCATAAAACCACTTTGTTATAAACCTTACAACTAAATGGCTATCGACCTAGTACAGCAAGTACAATTTGTAAGGGAATTTCTAATTTAATTGTTCAAAAATTAATTCTGATTCACAGGTAGGATTGCCCATTTGACCATATACTGTTGGTTTCTAATTAACAGTGCTGTTCCTAAAGTAGCATTGCGAAACAGTAACGAAACCTATATTATGAAAGTACTTATTATAGTACTAGTACTCCGCAACCTACACATAAAACAAGGCTAATGGCAGCTAATGTCCTGAGTTGTTGAAGCCGATAAATGTATCAACAAAAAAAAACATGACTGACAGTATCGAATTTGATATGTCTCTTTCAAATCCGACAAATTCAACTGTTCTTGAGTTGTGTTTTGTATTCTTTTGGAATAGGCGGTAGTTTTTTTAATATATCATACTCATTTTAAATAAACTCTACAACACGACCAGCAAATCACACAACAAATGGCCCGCGAGAAATAGATGTATTAAACATTGGAGGCGATACGTCACTTCTTCAATGAGTATTTAGATTTGTTCCTAGTTGTTTTCTTTTTTTATTGTGCGCATCTCGCAGTAAACTCTGATCGTGTTGTAGATTAAAAACAATTATATTTGTAAAAACAAGATGAATATACTGGTATAATTTTTATTTTACGTCTCAAAAAATGTCAAATATCATCATCAACGTACGTTATTTTATCACACAACACTAAATTAAAATACCAACTTACTAGAAATCATCGTTTAGATTTGGTAACTAAAAACACGTAACGACTTTGTTATTGAATAGAGTTTCAAAAATTATCGTTATAAAAGTCGTTGGTTGAATTGTCGTTAGCTTAACAATGTCGTCTATAAACGATAAATTACTGAATAGGGCCCTTAACAACGACCAGCTTTAACGCAGTTAACATCTAACGCACTATGTGGCGCTTCCATCGATATCAAACAAATAACGCAGCGGGAAATTTAAAAACCTGATAATAAAGGTTATATAAATATCGTCTGCACTCTCATGTTGTTGTAAATAAATTTAAACAATGCAATTACGCTAACTTATTTATTAAAAAATACTACACTTACTACAAATCTATTCACATTAAAAAATATATTTTTTAAATTTTTGTAACATTACATTTTTGTTTTTATTTTCCAAACGAATGGCCAATGGTTTCTTATTTAAAAATGTTGAGTGCAAACTCAATAATGGGAATTAAAATATTTTTCTTCCTGTATCAAATCTTCTTTCTAATGTTTTAAAACCATTTTCTTGTTCTAAAACAATAAATAATCCATAAATACCTACTTTGTGACAAAAGTTGATTACTTGTGTTACTTACATGACTAGATCGTACTTTGGTTAATTGAAGAACGCCACCCAGACAGCACCAAATCCTTTGGATATCTACTGAACATCCAGTCCATGGTAGATATCTATTTTATATCCATGAGATGTAATTTATAGACATGCAAATGTCCATAAATAATAGTAATTATATAGCAAATTATTAAAAAATTACGCCATTGTGGCTAATAGTAGGTACCGTTCAGATATTTAAAATTAATTTTTTTAAGGTGTATTCAATAACCCATGAACATCCACTAAATATATCAAAGTCTAGGCGCGAACGCAAACTGTGACGCAAACCATCGTGGATATCCACTAGATGTTATTTGATTCTGCTTACTAAGTATAGATGGCGATACCACTTTCGCATCTACTCGCATGCTCCACCCGCCGTAATTGAGTTCGATCGAAATTTGTGTCCTAATCAGACTCCATTAGAGACTGGAGTCGAAAATTTCCATTTATTGCTGAAGAGTCCTAATAAGGATGACTTTCTCCTTAGTGGGCAAAATCAAAGGCAGACTGTTAAAAATATTTTGAGCGTTGAAAATATTTTTTATCTCTGCTATTTTCTTTCGATGTTATTCAATAATCATTGGTTACTTATGAACCTCTACTAACGATACCCATAAAATAGTTTGCTATATATCCGAATATCTTCTATATCCTGGGATATAGACGGACATTTGGTTGGATAGCCATATTGGATATATTGCATATCCACAAAATATATTCTGTGGATATCTCTGGGATTTCTTGTATTTTCTAGAAGATACCCATTAAATATTTTGCTGAATATCCATTAGGATATCTTCTATATTCTGGATATAGACGTACATTTGGATATCCATATTAGATCCACAGAATATTTCTGATATCCTGTGGATATATTGGATATCCACCAAAGATATTCTGTGGATATCTCTGGGATTTGGTGTGTTGTCTGGGCACATTGGGGTTGTTAAATTTATTCATGTGGCATGTGTTAATAATGCAATACGTTCTCCGACTTATTGTAATATTACAAAATATAATTATTGTCCTTAAATTTCACACAAAGATAGCCACAACCATTTCGCTTAGTTTATCTAGAACTCAAAATTTAAATTCAGTATTCTCCGATATACAAAAAACTAACTGACATTTATATTTACAAACTGTCTATGTCTACTATCTGTCTAGTGTTGCCAGCCGTACGATTGAAATCGTATTTATACGATTTTTTAACTCTGTACGATTGCATCAGTGTGATCGTACGTAAAAATACGATCTTCACTTTTTTAGTAGGTTTATTTAAATATCTGCAACAACTTCAGAACATAAAACAATAAAAAACAAAAACTACTTGCAAAGATTCATAGGCCGTCCGTAATTTCTGAAGGCAGTCATTTTCGTTCTCACTTATCGTGATTTTGTACTAACACCGACTATCACGGTATAAGCAGAGCTTGCATGCAAAATTTTGATCACTTTTAAGAACAGTCATTGATTACTTTAAATGTGTTAATTTAAAGTATCATGTATTTTCTTTAGTTTTTTTCATTGTAAACATTTTTATAAATAATGCCAAAGTTTTTAATATTTTTTTATTCCATTTAAAATATATTATGCTATAGGTACATGTACCCATTTTTTTTTTGTCGAAATAACATTTTTCTACTCTACTTGTACGATCTCTCAAAAAAATATATTTGGCAACACTGGTCTGTCTACAAACGACGTATACCTGTAGTTAACATCTGAGACCACTCTGAGACGCATAAATGACGCCATCGTTGCGTTTCCTATCTTTATGTCCCTAATCTCTGGTTAAATCCTTTTTGAGAATGTTTTAAGTGGGCGTAGAAAAAGATAGTACGTTACACGAGTTGTAAGCCCATTACGCACTCGCAAAATTTTGTTATAGGAAAGACCCATCTTAATTTCATACGAGCAATCACCTCCTGAATTTTGTCACATGAATTTAGAAACACCCTGTATATGGTGTTAACGTCAAAATTTTCCATTATTTTCCAAGCGTAAGTCGTAAAATTTTGTTTCTTTCATAAATGGATATCTACAAATTCACATTATTGAGAGTACTATTTCCCCCTAGCCTCAGTGACACATTCGTCAATAAACTGGGTGTATGTCACGACCCCCTTACATATACTAGCCCTGGTGTTACTTATATCATGTGATATATCCATATTCACTTTTATAAAGGCAACAGCCATATAAGAACCTTTATCACAAATTTATTACATGGAAGAAACTGAGATAATAAAAGTTGACACAGATTTTAATATATTTATTGTAAACAATAGCAAAAACTTCTAAATATAAAAAGTTTCGATCGACCTTAAAAATAAACGTTTCTGCACAGTAACTAATAAAAAAAGACTTGTATTTTTTTCAAAATTCCGTTAGACAGATCAGAACAAAGCAAATTTATAAGAATTTTGGTTTAAAATAAAAGTGAAGCAATTTTGAAATTTCGTTCAGAATTTATTAATTAAAAAAGAAATAAATTAATCAATCGTGACTGGTAATTCAAATAATTCAACTCTGCTGCTGAGGTTGCTGCTGCTGCTGTTGTTGAACTTTCAACTCAGCTATTTCTATGATGGCGTCCCTAATTTTGCTCTTCTCCATACCCAACCACTGGATTTTTTCCATTTGTTCTGTTACAAATTTGACTTTCCTGTTGAAGTAATCCTTGGCTCCTTCAATATCCTATAAAATAAATAAACAGGTACAGAATGTTGCTGAACTTCAGAAGTATATAATACGAATGCACATAAGACATTTAATTTTCATCCAAAACTGAATAGTTCAATTTATCAACTATTATACTATATTATCTGTGATTTAGAAGTGTAATAAAAATTACCTTTTCTACATAGTATCTTGTACCAACATCTATAATGACATTTTTTGTATCATGAAGTTTACCAGGAACATACATCTATTCAGAAAAAGTTAAGAAAAATACCCATAACTTTATAAATTAAACATCAAATATTGGAGTTCCTCAAGGCCTATTGGGGCATTACTATGAAGTGATTTATAAAAAAATGTTTTTAAAGTAGGCACAGTGAGTTGTCAAATCATTAGGGACACCTATGTTTTAGATGGGAAATTAATTCAAAGTTATGTAATAATTATTTATGAGTTTGTTTCATTCATAACCTAAAACCAAAAGACAGTGCACATTACAGACTTAATACATTACAGACGGATAGTTTGATGGCTCTTTTAATTACCATGAAGATATTATATGCGAGTGTGCACACTCAAAGGATTTGAAATCTGATATATCTCCATGGTAATTAAAAGAGTGATCAAACCAATAAAGAAAAACTACTATTGGTTTACAAAAATCGAATTGCAAACATTCACAATGTCATCCACTTAGTTGTCAAATTATTATGAGTGGGAAAGTATCATTACAAGTATTGTTTGTGATTATCATTCGGTACTGACTAAACAAAAGGCTAGAAATAATTCAAAGGCTTTCAAAATTTCATTTGGGAAGTATATTTGCATTCTTAATGCCAGTTGTTATTATTATGAGTTTAATGTATTTTTTCTTGTTGCTATTATAGTTGTATAGTGTTTTTCAGGATAATATGCTATTAATTGAATTGTGACAGCAGTGTAAAACAAGCTTAGCAGACTTAAATACTGATTTATTCATAAAACACATGCTCGCTCCTCAGATAAACATACTCGCACAAATCATCCACACTCAAATTAGCAGCTGTTGTTTTATTTCTAATGCAACAAATAGCAGATGCGACAGCTGTCTGCATAATAATAAACACAATCTGAATGATTGCAATAAAAAGGCTTAATTACGAATGAATGGATTAGTCTAGTAGTATTTCGTCAAAGTGACAGTATATTCATATTTAACAAAATATATTCAAAAAGGATACAGATCCAGTCAAGGGAACTAACATGTCCTGCCCTTCTGCATCCTGAACGATTTTCTCCAATGTTTCTCCGGAAGTCTGGTATTTACCTTGAGCCATTTTTAACGAACCCAGAGATTCTTGAAATAAATTCAGTTCCTACGAAATACAATGCAACTAATATTCATATGAACCAGTTTTAAAGCAATAACTCACTTGATCTAATTGCTGCTTTAAGGAGGATAATTGTTGTATATTTAAGCTTGTGAGGTCTATTTGTTGCATTCCTTTTTGCTCTGTTGCTGATATTTGAGCCATTTTTGTTGGAAATTGAGATTGAATATTTTTTTAATTCTCAGCGCTGCTCAAAATAACCAATAACCTAAAAAAAAAACAACTTTCAACTTCATTTTGTTTCGTTTTCGGGTCCATAATAATGAAGGAATGGGACAATTTAAAAGTAGCCGGTAGCTTAATAGATACGAGGCTTTGTGTTTGACGTTTACGAAGAAACATTTTGACATTTGAAAGAAACATTCAGTGTCCGCAAGTTCTGTGTTCTAAAGATGGGTGTTCTGTGCATAACCTCATTGGTTCTGTGCTAGTATCCAAGTTCGGTAAAGTAAGTGTTCTGTGTTCGGTAATTCAAGTTTCTTTCACACTTGGCGGACAAATTTTAAATTTGTGAATTATTTAAAAAGTGCCGAAACAGGTAAAATCTATTAATCCAATCTATTTTCATTATTTTGTATTGAATCGATGGTCTGTGTCCTCGATAACTCAAAAACGGATAAAGAGAAAAACACTATGACATCTTGGAGGTACTTTATAGTGAGTCGTTTCTCCACAGATCAGTTTCTCTACTTTGAGGAATATCTGTTATTTACGATTGGAGATTTGTAAAATAAAGTTGAACTGTGATGTCATTCTCTATAATTTTTGTCATATACTCACATACTTTGATTTTCTTTAATCAAAGTATGTGCATATACTATTTTCCTAATATGGTCCGTATTCGAGAAATTTGACAAAAAGTGCAAAATTCGTATTTTTAAGAAAATTCTTAAAATAAAAGTTGTTTGCGATATCATTCTCTGTAATTTTTATTCTCTTACATATGATTTCTCTAAAATTGAGCGCAATGGAAAATTTTAAGGAAAACTGTAAAATTTTATTTTTTTAGTATTTTCGTTGGCAATGAATATAAAAAATGTTTTGAGTAAGATGTGCGTGGAAATGTATGTATTTAGTTCATGCTCTATACATTTACAGGAACAACTACTGGACTTGTTGGTATTGACTAAACATGATGCTATAAGCGCACAAAAGGCTTTTAAAATTACATTAGTGAAGTATATTTGCATTATTAATGCCAGTTATTATCAGTTTAATGTATTTTTTCTCGTTGCAACTATTAGCTGTTTAGGGTTTTTCAGGACAGTACGAAATTAATTTTGAAGTGTGACAAGCATTGTAAAGCAAGGGTAGTAGACGTAAATTCTGATTCATTTATAAAACCAATGCTTGCTTCTTAGATAAACATACTCGCACAAACCATTCCCACTCAAATTAGCAGCTGTCTCCTTCTTTCTAATGCGGCAGCCGATGCGACAACTCTGCCCGCGTAATAATAAACACAATCTGAATGATTGCAATAAAAAAGGGCTTAATTATCAATGAATGAATTAGTATAGTAGTTTTTCGTCGTTGGGTTGTACAGAATAACCGGAAAAAGCCTATATTAATGTAACGTTTGTTTAATTTATAGCTTATTTATTTAAAACACTATTTACAATTTATTTATAATGTACTAATTAATTTATATAATACTTAGGCACTATTGCAACTCACAATTCTAATTTATTTATTACAATTTATCTTTTCTGTCCAACACTTAAATTCAATCTTCCCGTCCGTCGACAACTCGCGCTATTTATACAAACCCAGCTCTGTACCAGTAGTTTCTAGACGATGTCGAATATCCGAGAATTCCATCTCTATGACTCAACGGCCACGTACCGCTATTTCTGGTAGTTTCGAGGAGCGGTGCGTTTGTGTCTATATGATCAGTGCTAGACTACATACCGCTGGCAAAGTACAGAGACGGCTCCGCGTCACAATAACTTCGATCCGGATGTCTTGTAAACAGCTTTTCTGATGTTCAATTCATCAGTAATTAGATATATAGGCTTAATAATTTGGCTTTGTTATACCTGTACCACTTTTCAGCTGGTTTTCTTTTAATATGAACTGGCCAAAGAAGTAGGGAGGGTAGAATGATAAATACCGTCTGCGCATCCATGACGAGTGTAGAAATTATGCATGATTCAACCTTCCACTCTTAAAGTACATGACAAGGAGAGGTTGCCCTAAAGAACAGTTAACAAATTCCAGATTTGGCTTTGTTCAGCTATTATGCTCATGTTCACCTTTGTTTCTTGTGTGTGTTGTGGCTGTTGTAAGCTTTTTTGACGTCGGTTCTTTATTTTGCCAAGCTACAACCACGTCCTCCTCTCTTGACGATATATTGAATACTGCAAGTACTTAAATTTTTCCATCTGTGTCTACGATGTTTAGCAACATACGATATATACTTCATGTCGCACGTTGCATGTTTGATGTTTGCTTGGTGTACGACCGCACTAATAAAAGTAACACGGTAACAGATGATATTCATCCGCCTAACGAAGACCTCAACACGACCTCAACATCTCGCTAAGCTGTAATCGCGAGAGGCGAGAGGGTAAAAGTATCAGATGATAGGTATTCAGTGTTGTTCCTAGGGATTTTTGAATTGTACAACCCCAGTATATATATATCAACCACTAATTAATCTTCTTCTTTTTTATTGACAGACTATGGCCTACTACTTTCCCATGCTTAAAATTCTTCTTTTTTCCAGTTTAAAATATATTTTTGATGTAAAACGGTGTACTGATTGGTGGCGAATGGCGCCAAATTTAAACTTTTATTTTTTTATTAATTTTAATGCATGTTATTTAACAAATCGTAGACTTTTTGAGCGAAGAAAACCTTTTATATACCCGATTTTACATAAATATTTAGCAATTTCAAATTGTACAACATTTCTGTCTTTTTTCAAAAGTGCGTACAACAGTACAACCGCATAACTGATTGTACAACTTTTTGTACAATTGTACAACCAGGAACAACACTGTAGGTATTCGCTCTGTGCGAAGTCATGGAAAGGGAAGCAAAAGCGATACTAGCGCTAGCTGCGGATAATTCGTGCATTTTAGGGCGATATTTTGTAATTTTGGCATATCAAATACACGTATATATTTTACTTTTTTTCAAAAAAAGTAGGTAAAAACAATACAATAAGCAACCGGAGTTGCTGTGTTGAAAATTGTACAAATACTAGCAAAAAAACAGTGAAACTCATATAAAAAATTTCAGTAGCAAAGTGGAAATTAAATCAAAGAAATAAATATACAATAAGAAGAAAAATTACCTTTATTTTTGTAATAATAACCGTAATGCTGCAAATAGTAGACATCAGAAACTTGAAAGGTTTTAAATAAAAAATAAATTATCATTTTACCATGTTCTTTAATATCCTTTATTCTTAAATGTTCATTCAGCAAGGACTAGATTTCAAGATTTCTCCCTTTGATTATTATATGTGGTTAGAACGCAATTTTGTAACTTACTGATGGGAAATCAGTTTTAATCATTCATTCTATGTTTTCTTTCGAACAAAAATGAAAATATAAGTAATGATCCTTTTTTTATACATTTTAACTTCACGCTATTATTAAATGGCATTTTTTATTTTGACAGAATAGACTAATTCTTCAATGAAAACTTATTAGACTAAGGCAACTTCTCATACATTTTCCAGTAAAAACTGTTGCCTGCCTATATTTTATTATTGATTTTTATCGATTATACATAATTTTCTTTAATTTAAGCGATAAAAATATATAATAATAAATTAATGTTTTACTTGTTTTACAAATCCATATACTTTTATTAAAACTACCATATATACTTTTTAATTACGAATTCTGTTAAAAGTTGCATTTGTCAGTGTACGCAGAAATAGTCCATTAGTATCAAAACGAATTGGCGCTGCTGTCGCGCACGGAGCGAATACATCCGCCTAGTAAAGACAACAAACATCTCGATAAGCTGTAACCGTCAGAGGGTAAAAGTAACAAAGAGGGATTCACATCCTAACGTCGTCGATGCTTTAATGAGAATATTGCGTTCGAACGTGAGCCTCTGCAATAGCTGTTACCAAAAAAGGACAGCAAAATGGTCTGCCGTATTTTAGTACTAACTTCCTATTTTCCAGTGATTCCATTCAAACCAAGGGTGGCCCCAGGTTGAATTTTCAGGGGAGTCATTGCTAATAACAATTCGCTTTTTGGCATATTTTTTTTAATAAGCTAATTTATTATAAAAAATGTGGTCTCGGGAGGGGGAGGCATGGCCTCCTATGGCCTCCCTCCTAGAACCGCCCTTGCAAAACACTCCCTTTAAAGAAAGAAAAATAAAACTTAAAAACCTTTTGAAAGTACCAACAAAATGACATTAATAAAAAAAATGCAAAAATTGGCTGGAATATTTTTATAATGTTCTGAAACCAATTTTCAAACATTTCTTCATGATAGTCTTTTATTTTCTTTAACTCGAACATTAATGAACCATCTGGCAAAAATCAGTCGGTGCTTCCAATGTGGGTTATTATATGATTTCCTTTTCGTGTTGGATTTTTTAATCCATAAATAGACCCCTTTCATAAAGGCTTGTTTCTTAATTTTGATGGAGGTATCTTGCCAAATTTTTGTTAGTATATGTCAAGCATTAACCTATGTTTTATCTAAATAAAATACCTGTTTATGTTGAATCCTTGCGTCCGCTATTTTCCTTAAATAATCATGTCTCCTCGTAATGATTTCGTCTTTCTCTGTTATAAAGCTGTTTCTGTCACGTTTTTTGTAACGAAAATTTAATTTATGTAATATTTTTTGCTGATGAAAATATGATATATTTGGAAGAGTGGGGGCCTATTTTCTAATTTTTTACGTGTAGGACTTTAATTTCAAATGAAAAAAGAATGTACCATTTGCCTTATTACATTCTTTACCCAAGTTTCAATAAAGATCTTGTTTCTTCCTGGGGTCTTTTTCGGACGTGAGACTTCTCCAATAACTGTATCCTCTTTAATAACGTTATACACAGTCCGGTTAGATACCCCAGTATAGGTATCACATTTATTGGCTATTTCATCTCCAGAAAGTGAAACAAAGTCTTTTCGAAGATTATTAAATACAATACGATATTTTTCTTCTTCTAAAGATAATGCTTATGTCCACTATGTCGTTTACGCGTACTTGTGCTTGCAATATTTTTTAATGTACTCGTCATTCTAATATAGAATAAATAAATAAAATTCTAATTTATACAATACAAAAATCAGTAACAATTAAAATTCATACGATACGGTTATGAATAAATAAAGTGTGACTTATCTGTCATAAAAA